GGGGTCAGGCCGGACGGGGGGCGGGGCCAACGCCAGAGCCCCGCCCACCCTCGCCCCTCCTCCCTGCCCAGGTGGTCTACAGAGTTGGGCTCAAGGAAAACCACGTGCTGAAGAGACACGCGGGGCAGCAGCTGCGGATTCACATCGTTTACGACCGCAGCATCGAGAGGTGAGCACAGCCCGCCCTGGGGCGGGGGAAGACTTCCTCTGGTAGTGAAGCACTGGAAGGGGCTACCACACAGAGCAGTGGTGGAAGAAGCTCCATCCCAGTCAAGGCAAAATCACGTGGAGACTTGGCGTGGGGTTCAGTGAGCGCGCCGGTGACACCCAGCTCGTGTCGCCTGACCCGGGCCCTGCACTCTGGATCTTTATCCAGTGCCGGGCTGCAGGTGGAGATTGGATGTGGTGTACTAAGTGAAACCAGATCCAGAAAGAGGTGATTGTGTTCGGCAGACCTCACGACTAGGGACCAGGGACCGTCTCATATCATGATTTTTTAGTTTTCTTGGAAACTGCAAAAACCGGCGGTTTCTGCAAACGCAGCAAAAAATGGTGATTTCCACAATTTTGTGTACTTTCGCTGGAAAAAAAATTACTAAACGTAAAATGCTGGCTCCTCAGTGGGAGCCAGCAGCTAGCCGTAGCCCACTGTGGGGTGGCGGGGAATAGACATTGGTGAAGGGCAGTCCTCTGAGCCAGTCACTGGCAAGGGGTGGGGCTGGCGGAGCCCCTCGGCCAATCGACAGCATGCCATGGAAAGATGGCGAAACTAGGGGCTGGTGCTATTGTCAGTTTGCAAGATCACCTGTCTGCTGCCTCAATTTGGGTAGGTCCCTACTCATGACCGGGGATCCGCGTTTTCCGTTTCCCGTGGGGAAAAACGGAGAAAACCACGGATTCCCTGTTTTTATCGGAGAAAACGCAGATCTATCTTTTTAGCAGAGAAATCCGTGGATTCTCCGCTTTTGCAAAGTGCTCGTGCAGGCTGGCACAGCTCCAGCCTGCAGGAGCCAATTGCAAAAAGGGCAGGAAACCCCCAGCCCTGCGGGGGAGGGAGGGGGGCGAGGGTGGAGCGTGAGCCTCTGGGGCAGCCAAGGCCGAGCTCAGGCTCACACTCGCCCTTCGCCCCTGGAGCATGGAGGTGAGTGGGGCTTGGGGCAGGGCTGGGGAAGATGGTTTGGGGGCTGAGGGAACGGGGGCTGCTGCCGGCCCCAGGCGGCACACAACAGCTGGGAGCAGGGACGGGGTGCGGGCAAGGGTGCCTCTCTGCGGAGAGGCTTTGCAAGCAAGTGATGTGGGGCACAGTGGTGGTGCCTGCCATGTGCAGGCTGCACACATGCTGCCCAGCCGGCTGCTCAGGGGAGGGGGAGATGGTGGCTGGTATGTGGCTGCATGGCC